GTGAGTGTTGAAGTTGCCATTGAGAAAACAAATAAAGAAATGTAGTTAGTCATCTCTGGTGTTGATTATACACTGAGGGTCAGCGTTTGTGATAATGTCAGACACATTTACAGATTTTCTTCAGATGCCTCACTTTTTCTTATTCTTTCAAATCAGTTTGATTAAAGTCCCTTTTTTTTTTGGTATTTTGGGACAGATAAATGTGGCATGAGTCCCACATATAGGTACACGGTTAATCTATTTGAGTAACTGGTATCTGTGAGCACTTGATAAGTCATATGTAAGTAAGTAAATAGTAAATGTCTGTTTTTTATTGTTGTTAAATAACAAGTTAACATGAATGTATTATGTAATGCTGGTTTTAAAATCCTATAGTTGTTAACAAATAAATAGTGAAAACATCAGCTTTATTTAAGATTTAAATAATAATTAAAAAATCTTGATTGCAATGCTAGTTATATTTGAGCATACAAATATAAAGTTAGATTTGATTATGATACACTGACACAAAATTAACTGGAAATCTGCTTGATTTTAAGACTCCCTGGAGTACTTGGTGAGATTTTAACAGATTTGTGTGTGTTGAACATCAGTTAAAACTACATTAGCAGTTAGCTTTATTGTGGGGAAAAGTGGAAGGTTTTGTCAGCTACTTTTATCTTTCATGATAAAATTCATTTTTGTGATGGGATCAAAATCACTGATGTAGCACCCATCTGCGAGTGGAGTGATGTCGGTTTTTCATTATTTTTCATAGCAGAGTTTTCATAACTAATGAGAAGATCCTGCTTCTTAATAATTCATGACAGCACATGCTTTCCGATGACAGACCCATATGAACAGACTTGCCAAGTTGTGAGACTGCATCTGCGCATGACACGCAGTATTTAGCCGTTCATGAAAGCTTGTATGTGTTTGTTTCCATGATCTACAGAGTTTGTTGCATGGCTTGTCAGGGCCACCAATACAGCCAATCTGTTTGCGTGCAGAAAGCATTTTTGTCGAGAGAGCGAGATTTGGAGAATGGCAGACTTTGTCTTTAGTCAGTTGAGTTTGTTACCATTCAGACACATCGCCTATATCCATGCTGCTGTGTTCGCACATGTTTAAAATCCTTCAGATTACCGGCAGGGCTAATGGTTGGAATAGATAGGGAAAGAGACCTGCTGCACTGGTATCCACGTTGTCTGCATTCAGACCCGGGAATTTAGGAGGAGAGAAGTCGTTGGTGTCACAGCATTAAGCTATTACTGTTTATTTCTTTGCATTTTAACTTGGTATACTATAATATCATGGGTCTCCTTACATTTTGTATTGTATTTTTTTTTATGTTGAGCTAGTGAGCCAACTGACAAAAGACCTTCTTTTTTCACCTGCTCTGCCGCCATGCCCACTCCTCCCTCTGCTCGCAGCACTCCACGCCCATCTCGGAGCATTTTTTTGGTAGATTAGAGGTAGATTTGAACTGAAAGATAGGGGTTTCAAACAATAAATGGTTAATGATGGATGCAAATAACCAACCAGAATGTGGAACTTTTTAGTCATCGCAGATTTGTTTGTTTCAGTATGAAATTAGCTGAAACTTGTTCTAGTGCTCTGCTTAAATTACAGTTTTAATATTACTCATATTGTGCAAATGGAAGAGTGCAAATTACTCATATTGTACAAATTTGGAAATTTCAGTGTTTCTTGCTATTTGTTTGTTTAATTTACTGACAGTTTCTAAATGGGACCATGGTTTTTTTTTTTTAAAGTTGAAAATATATACAGTTGAAGTCAGAATTATTAGCCCCCTTTGATATTATTTCTTTTTTAAATATATCCCAAATGTTGTTTAACAGAGGAAGGGAATTTTCACAGTATGTCTGACAATATTTAATCTTCTGAAGATAGTCTTATTTTTTATTTCGACTAGAATAAACGCAGTTTAAAAAAAAAAAAACATTTTAAGGTCAAAATTATTAGCTCCTTTAAGCTACTTTTTTCCCGATATTCTGCAGAACAAACCATCGTTATACAATAACTTGCCTAATTACCCTAACCTGCCTAGTTAACCTAATTAACCTAGTTAAGCCTTTAAATGTCGCTTTAGGCTATATAGAAGTGTCTTGTAAAATATCTAATAAAATATCATTTACTGTCATCATGGCAAAGATAAAATGAATCAATTATTAGAAATGGGTTATTAAAATTATTATGTTTAGAAATGTGTTGAAATAATAATTCTGACTTCAACTGTATATATGTACATATATATATATATATATATATATATATATATATATATATTACACAGTATCTTTTTTTTTTTTTTTGTCTTGGAGACTCATTGGAGACACAGCAGCTTTACTGTCTGAGTCTGCTCATCTGCTCAGGTTGTCCTGAGCTTTAGCGGCTGATGGGTAAATGCAATCATCCCATGCTCCTTTGCTTTCTCTTGGCAGGAGAGACATAAGCATAGCTGTAGGGACCTCTGTCTGCACCATCAGATTCAGCACACACACACTCATGGCTCCTTCATCTGCTAGATTCAGCTGCTGATTAGTTCAGAGCTCGGGAGAAACATTTTTCATTCATCCTCCCTTGTGATCTCACTGCTGTTTGGCATGTCTGTGTTTAAAGTTGACCTTCAGCCGGAAGGTGCACCTCTTATTAAACCACAACCTAAACATAAATGTAGATTTAACGACCTGCGGTGAATCCAACCAGACAGGTCTTGTGACCGTTTGAGTCGGAGCTGCAAACCTTGAACCTGTTGGCCATCATTTCTATGTAGGTGTCAAGAGGGTCGTGTTTAACATTCATCACCTGAGACGGAAGAGCATCATTAGGGGCTGTTATCTTCACACGGTGCTTGTGTTTTTCTCCTCATTATTCCATGATCTCTTTCTCTGTTGTGTTTCAAGGTCATGGCTCTGAGCGTGTGCTTGTTCTGATTCCACGGCGCAAACACATCTCTTTTTTTTTTTAACAGCGCCGCTGACCTCCTCGAATGTGGGCCAATTAGAGGAGTCTCTGACATAGGAAAGCACTAATGTGTGAAGGCTTTTTTTTTCTTCGGAAAGTGATTAAGAGAATAAATCTGCCCATTTAGGGAGAGAGAGAGAGAAGATTATAGAGACAGTAGAGGCTATTAGAGAGGACAGATGGGTGGAAGGAGCCTGGGTAATGAGCAGAAAGTATATTATAGACTAAAGTACAGTATTCTCTGCTAGGCAGCATACTTTCTGCTCATTAACAAGGCTACAGTATAATAATTAAAATATTCCAATGCCATTATATATACACTGTAAAAAAATCTGTATTTTTACGGTTTATTTCTGGCCGCTGGGGTGCAGAAAAAAAAAAAAAAAACGTTAAATAACTGTCATTAAATTACAGAAATTTACTGTAAATTAACAGACATTAAATTACAGAAATTTCCTTAAATTAAAATTTCTGGTAAATTTCTGTTATTTAACCTCTGTTATTTTACAGTAAGCACCCCAGCTGCCTGCAATAAACCGTAAAATTACAAATTGTTTTTACAGTGTACTTAAATGAAAAAGAAGTTAATGCCGTAATTCAATAAAAAAGAATGCGTTCAAATGTTCAATTATAAATTTTTAACTTGTTGTTATGTATAAATACATGCTCTAAACAAATCGAGAGAACCAATGATTCAATGACTTTATTCATGAATTAAAATTTGTTGTTTGTTTGAATGGATCAAATGAGTGAATGACATTGTGATTCATTACACGCATTTAGTGATGTTATTAAAGTTTTTATTTACATTAAAATTAAAAATTGCAGCGATTGTATCGAAAAACAAAATGAAAATATAACAAACTTCTAACAATATTTAATGTAATTTCTAATGAGTATTTGTATTTTTTTAGTATTTGCTTGGACAGAACTATGTGTAGGTGTGGGTTAGGGCTAGGGTTAGCGATATAAACACAACAAGTCTCTTTTAAAAAAATCCCTGATGTCAGAATAGGATTCAATCCCAGTTTTTTTTTTCTTTTTAGCCCACCACATCATGACATTTGAGTGTGATTTTTTCCTGCTCATCGAAATAATTGACTGGTTTGATTAATATCTTTATTTAGTAATGTGTAAAAACAAAACAGGATTTGCAAAAAAAGCTGGGAATAAAAGATCTGTTCCAACTCTCTGTGATCAGCTGCACCTCAAGAATGAGTTTTAAACACGTTTGTAATTAAGAAAAGACGGTGAAACTGCTATGTAATTCATAGCTGCAGTACTTACCACACTGCCAAAGTGTCAGTAAATGTTTGTGTGTGTGTGTGTGTGTATGTGTACTGCAAACTTTGTAACTGTCTTTGTGTGTGACATACTTTTAGAAAGGCTTGAATAGACTCCACCACAAATACATAAAATAAACTTTTTAAAATAAAAGTTTTGACTAATGAGCTGGATTTCTGCTTCATCCATGTCTCTGTCTGTTACTTTCACTGACTGCTGTTTATCTGATGTGACACATGAGAAGCAGAGATGCATGTGGAAATGGTGGGCAGTGAGAAGCAGCTCATTTGCTTTTAAAGACATAGCCTACAAAATCAGCTACTTCTTAGCGTAGAGATCAACATCGGCAATTTCTGCATTTTATAATATATAATCTGATGGGTATTTTGAGCAGAAACTTGACAGACACATTCTGGAGACACAAAGTTTAAGTTTCATCTATACAACATTTATTATCTTGGTTCTAAATGATTCCATAATGGCTGATTTACTATGTGTAAACAGCTTTGATTTTCAATTGCACAGAGTTCTTGCAATGTGTTTTTATTAACTGTTTTGCACAAAAGTCATATGGGATGCTTTGCTCTTTTTTTTAACATGTGGCACACATTTGAAAACACTTCAGAGTTGTACGTAAAAGCCTGTATACATTCCAGTGATAAAATGTAAACATAATGTTTTCAGAATAATGTGGCAGAAATGTGTGTTCATTTAGGATGTTCACGCTATGTTTTTTTTTTTATTTGCAGGTCCATTGTCTCGAAGCCCTTGTGAACTTTTGCCAGTTGGTGTGGGTCACCCAGTTCAGGCAATGTTAAAGAGTTTTACCGCCCTATCAGGCTGCGCTAGCAGAGGAACTACCAGCCACCCTCAGGAGGTGCACATCATCAACCTACGAAAAGGCAGTGCACAAGGAGCCAGAGAGAAAACGGCAGAGGTGAGAATCTTGCATTACTAGTACTTCAAAGGGCTATTATGTGCACTACAACACCATTCCATAAGCATTCAATGACCAGTTTTAGTCATGTCTGGCACTGGTTTACACTGTATGTTTTCAAAGAAAACATTACATAGCATTCACAAATCATCATCCTGAAAATGCAATCTTTTTTTTGTAATATTGCCTATAAATTTAAATGAGTTACTACAGCCCCTGAAGGTGCATACCTCACTTTGTCCTGCAAACAGGAGAGCAAAGTTTTTTCACTGCTGTGATAATGTTGTTTTTGAAAATTTGAAAGACTTGTCTGAAGTAAAGTTATGTTTTTGCTATCAGCACAGTATTTTTTGTTAGCCGAAAGTTGCTAGGCAACAGATAAATACAAGTAGTGGACGCTGCAAAGCATGTGGTCACTTAGACCATTCCAGGGTGGTCCATTCCAATAATGAAAATTCTTATGTGTTTCCTAATTTTAATAGTATAACAATGTTAGAATAAAGTAAACAAACTTTTAGGACAAGTCAGGGTTTTAAAGGTGCTGTATCTAAGTTTTTGATTTTTCTAAAGCAGGGGTGTCAAACTCATTTTAGCTCAGGGGCCACATGGAGGAAAATCTATTCCCAAGCAGGCCAGACCAGTAAAATCATGGTATATATAACTTATAAACAACACCTTCAGATTGTTTTCTTTGTTTTAATATAATCAACATAAAACATAAAGCTGGAGCGTGAGGACAACACAATCTCATAGATATTTGTAACTTTTTGATTTAGCTGCTAATTCATATGGATTAACACAATCTCATTTGTACAATTTAGTATGATTTGCTTGTCCACCAATGATAGTTGGGTTTAGGGATGTGGGTGCCACACCTCTTTTTTTATATCAGACATTTTTGTATGACTGAACTTGTACAAATAGCTAATGCTGATTCAGGAATCTTTATCGCAGGGTTCTCAACCTTTTCACTTTGGGCCCACTTCTTTCTCTGATAAATTTTTGTTGGCCCACCTGAAAAAATATCTTTTCTATATATAAATATATATATATATATATATATATATATATATATATATATATATATATATATATATATATATATATATATATAGTCACTTAGTTGTGACTATGCAGATAAAATTCCACATAAGGTGTTTTATTAATTAGCAAATAAATAACATGAACATTAGGTGAGCAGGCATTCAGAAGCACAGGATATGCACTCACTCATGAAATTGTAAGGTTTATAATCTAATAAATACATATTAAACCTTTCTAACATGATTAAATGTACATGCTGAATCACTATGTGTTAGTTTTGACTTACAGTTGCAAAGTTCAATTTCAAACGGTTTATTTTCAAGATCCGAGGTGAACCATCTGCTGCTTCTTTCAATAATGTGGCAATAAATGTCATGTAAAATGACATTCAAACTCACATTGTTAGCATTTAACACTAAATGAAGTAATGAGGTTTACATGAGGTGATCAGTTTATCCAGTTGTTTACACCTGTGAGAAATAGAAATCGTTGCTAATATATCAATTTGAGGTGTTGGTTAGAACAAATACTCCTTTTTTTATGGAAAATAGTCCTTCTATCGTGTGCCGTTGCTTTTATTTAGAACACGGTTTAAATCAGCCTCGCTGTTGGTGTCGTTAATCTGGCAACCTGCGGTTGCCTTTGCTTTGATCCAGGAATGCAATACCTAGTTCAACCACTGGGTGTCAAATGTACATACTGCACCTTTAATGACAAAATATGAAAATGTTATATCAAAATGACTGTCACTTTAATTCTAGTGTTAAACAGTCCAGCAGTAATATTGTCTAATTAAAAGGATGTGGAGGACCCTGTGTGAGTGCTAGTGATGACAGTTTCATAGATGAGACATCAAGGCACTGAAACCTGAAAACCAAGTGTTGTTAAAATGACTTTTTGGCAAAGCTGTTTCTTGCAGGTTTAACTTGTATTGATGAAGCCCTTATGAATATTCTTTGATTTTGAAGTTGGCTGAGGTAAAGTGAGGTTAAGTTGTGAGTTCTCTTGCTAGTAGGTGGGGGTGTTGTAGAAACAGCGTGGGGTACGTCCACAGGGTTTGCGTATAAGTTGATGTTGTAATTGCTGGAAGGACCATTTGGCTGAGATCACCGCTGACTCGTGTTTACATTATCATTTCTGTAATTACAGCCTTTTCTCGAAGTGCAAACATATATATAAAAAAACACATTGGGGTCTACAAAAGAGCAAGATAAGTTTCTGATACAAACCTTTTCTGCCCAAGTTGTTCTTTTAGAAGTCTCATTAGCAACCAATGAGTATGGAAAGAAAATATGTTCTTGGAGAAAGATTGGCCATCAATATTTCAGCCTTCACATATCCCAAGAAAAACACCAATGGGCCTCAGGAAAGTTGGGATATGTTTTAAAGGCTGAGCCTAGAGTTTTGCAAGCGAAACGGGAGGAAGAAAGAAAGACAGAAAGAGCGAATATGGACGCAGTTGTATGGCACTATCAGCCACGCGAATCGAGAAAGGCCTTTTCTCCCTCTGAACTTTGTGTGGCTTGGGCTCACAGCTCTATTGAAATACAATATCGGTCCCTGCCGACACAGACAATGATGGCTTTAAACCGCCTCGCTTTCAATGTCATGTGTTTTTTGCATCAGGGAGCAAGTATCACTCAACTGGGTCGGTGCAGACAAAAGCTCGCTTCTTTCCTCCTGCCAGGGTTCAAAGACCCCTTGGATTTGTGTCCACGGCGCTCCATTAGACTGCCGCTCACATTTATACCCTGTACCGTGTGCCCTCATGCATTGTAATCAGCATCGCTGTGGACGGCTGTTGTTCCCTCCACCCTGACAGACAGGAAGCAGAAGAAAAGCACACTGGCCAAAGCACAGGAGCGGAGCCCTGTAAACATCCGTGCCAGAGAGATCAGATTGTTGTTGGTGGCTTCAGTATGTGAAACAAAAGCCTGAGGAATGCTATCTGACATATCTTAAAAGAGTAAGCTACATGGTGCTGGTGAGCAAGGAAAAGGGCTTCTTTTGTTTGCAAGCTGTCAATCGCAAAGTGTTTGATAAATTTTTTATTGGCAAAATCCGTTCCATTCAGCAGCCGACTACATTTTATGTTCAGTTTGTGTCTTACATTAGAACTTCAGACATTTGCTACATATTCAATTGAGAACCAAATTCAATTTAATTTAATTTAATTTAATTTAATTTAATTTAATTTAATTTAATTTAATTTAATTTAATTTAATTTAATTTAATTTAATTTAATTTAATTTAATTTAATTTAATTTAATATTATTATTAGCTATAAAGCTGTTATTGTTTATTGAATGGCACAATGCTGATGTTTACTGAAGTCTGGGTTTCTCTCCTTGCCCCGCGACCCGGCTTCAGAAAAGCAGTAGAAGATGAATGAATGAACAGTATTAATAAGTGAAGTTTATTTATAAACTAATTTCGAGAGAGTCACATGCTTATGGTTGTTAGCGGCTGAACCCACATTATCCAATTCTCAATGCACCAATCAGATGACGCCTAAGCCACTGCAAATACCCAATGTATCATTGTTATCTTCATTTCAAAGAATCCCCCCTTCCACCCCTACTCCTCCTCCTTTCTTAGATGGGTGACACGGTGGCCCAGTGCTTAGCACTGTTGCCTCACTGCAAGAATGTCACTGGTTCCAGACTTTACCAAACCAGCAGACGTTTATGTGAGGAGTTTGCATGGTTTCCTCCAGGTTTCCCGGTTTCCTCCCACCGATCAAAAACATGCAACCTAAGTTTATTGACTAATCCAAATTAACACCACAGTATTGCCACAGCCTAGGTCTTTTTTTTTTTAAAGCAACTACTATCTGCTCTTCAGCTACCATGACAGGGGAGTTCTCAAGATTTACCTGAGCTCAAACTCCCCTTACGCCGTGCAAACGATAGGAGCCCCGGGCTCAAGGTTCTTATGAGCTCAGGGCTCTCTCCCGGAAAAGCATGCCAATCAATCATCAGCTCAGTGTGAACTCTTAAAATAAATAAGGGGTGTGTTTTTTTTATGGATCCACTTAATGATTGTGTAGTTACAATTTGACCAAAGAGTAAGAATATTTTGCACACTGAATACCAGGTACTTACAGTACACATAAAGTCTGCATCAATATTGTGATATTCAGTAGTTAAGATATACTCTAGCTGGTCAACCCGCCCAATGCCGTAAAACCAGCAAATCAGTCCAGTCAAGCATTTAAGGATTTAAGACTTAAACATTTGCAGGCAATTGATCTAAACAGCAGGCTCTTTCATGGACAAACAGCAGCATGTCTGCTAGCATGACTCCTCACCATGAGTCACTGGTCATGCTATTGGATCTCGTCCTCTAAATCTGCTCTGTCAGGACTTTGCAGTGGCCTGAAACCATCTGCTGGAGATGTGTGAAAATCAACATGTCCCAACTAGTCATCAGGATTCCAGACTCCTACGACTGAAAGCGGACTGGAGCTCTGCGGATGATGAATGAGACATGTCATTTTCTGCTATGCTATATTGCCATTTGCCTTTTGCTTTAGTTGGCAAATAGCTAAAGAGCTCTATTCCCTATGATGCCGTTGTTGTGGGATTGTATCAGTATCTTGGTAACAGATTTGCCTTTTTTTGTGCTTTTCTCTTAAAACTGGTGAACAGTTGAATGTAGGCCAAGGCTGAGTTTACTCAGCACATTTTAGGGCCTTGTTGGAGTACAATATGTCTTGGTTCGTTTTCCTTATTCGGATTTATTGTGTTCATTTTTCTTCATTTTAGTGGAAAATGAAAGACTAGGATATGTATAACATGAATCGCACAAAGAAAAGCTCAGTGCTAAATACAAACTCAACAAAATAGCATGACAAATCTCAAGAATAAAGGTGCCACTGTGCGACTGTGGTCGTACCTTATCAAAATATGGGATTTTTGATCTTGCTACTAACATGTATGATTAAAGAATTAATG